CAAGAGGCTTAGAATGAGAGTATTTGGGGACCATAATCACATTAGAGACACAGGAAGGGGCCAGACTGTGCATCATAATAAGGAATTTATATTTCCCTGTATGTGGGACTGGAAGCTACTGGAGGATGCTGAGCAGGTGTCACTATCTGACAGTTTTCAAAGATCACTGTCCTTTGTAGATGAGAACTGATTATAGGGGGCAAGAGTGGTAGCAAAGAATTCTAATGGAAGCCTCTTGCATAGTCTATGAAACGGGTAAGGATGATTGGAGTAAGACAATAGTGGTGACATGAGATTCTGGGTATGTTTCTAAAATAGAGCCCAGGCCAGTGTGGCTCAGTTGGCTGGATTGTCATCTCGTACACTGAAAGGTCCAGGGCTTGATTCCAGGTCAGGGCACATACTCAGGTGTCGGGTTTGATTCCTAGTGAGTATGGGAGGCAAACAACTGATGTTTCTCTCTTTCTCTCCATCTCCCTTTCCCTTACTTTCTCTCTCTCTAAAAAATCTATAAAGAACATATCTTCAGGTGAGGATTAAAAAAAAAAGAATTAAAATACAGCCAAAAGATCTTCCTGATAGAATGTATGTGGACTTTCAAGGAAAAAGAAGAACCTATGATGACTCCTAAAGAATAGAGATGAGTGACAGGAAATATCAATGGTGCCATATTCTGAAATAGGTAATGAGGAAGGAATAAGCAGGTTTGAGAAAAAAACTAAGAAGAACTATTACTATCCTTATATTCCATAGTAAAAATAAGAAAACTAAGGGACAGAGTACCTAAGCAACTAGATCAAAGTCACACTGCTGGTAAGCAGCAAACCTAGGAAATAAATTTAGGCAGTACAGCTCCAAAATCTGAATTCTTAAAGCTAAACTAAATTGTCTCCTAAGGCTCTAAGGGAAAAAAATTACGAAGTTCTAGATCTGAGCTCCAGGCTCAGTTCAACATTTGGAAGTCACAAAAAGGAGAAGCCAAAAAAGGCTTAAAAAGGGCTAAGCAGAAAATCAGAAAAAGTTTGGTGTCCTGGGAAGCAAGTGAATAAAGTCCATCAAAGAGGAATACTAAGAGATGAACAAAAAAATCGACTAGGAATTGACTGCCGACCATCAGAATTGACAAGATGGAAGTCACTAGGGACTTTGAAAGAAAAGCTTGATGGAATGAGTTATCTTTATAATTCAAGAGTTGAACTTGGCAAGAAATATAATATCCAAAATGAGATTCACTTATTCAATAAATGCTTACAGAATGTTTATTAGTGTCAGACATACTATGTGCTGGGAATATGGTACTAAACAAAACAAAACAAACAAAAATCCCTGTCCTCATAGAGCTCACATTCTGGTAACATGCTTAGATATTTCTTCTAGGGAAAAGCTACTGCCAGTATTTTGCTTCTTTATATGAAATGTATTGCATAAATCAGTTGATAAATTTCTGATTCACCATTTCAGTTTATAAGTGGAAGATAATTTTGAAGAAGCACAAATGCATATTAATGTTAAATGGTAAATAATTATATCAAGTGATTTTGTGGGAGCATTTTAATATCTCTGACATATTCATTGATGGATAAAGTGAAAAGGAGTGTATTATTGTTAAATGTCTTGTACATTCTATATTCTACATGCTATCCTAGTAAAAAATTTAACATGGCCCTGGCCGGTTTGGCTCGGCGGTTAGAGCGTCAGCCTGCGGTCCAGAGAGACCCAGGTTCAGTTCTGGCTAAGGGTACGTATCTCGGTTGCAGTTTGTCCCCGGCCCTGGTTGGTCGTACGGGTGGTGGCCACTTGATGTGTCCCTTTCAAGTCGATGTTTCTTTCTCTCTCTCTTCCTCTCTCTCTCTCTCTCTCTTCCTCTCCCTCCCTCCTACTCTATCTGAACAAAAAAATGGAAAAATGTCCTTGGGTGAGGATTAAAAAAAAAATTTAATATGGGAGTCCACTGGACTCTGTCCAAGGATTATTTACTGGGAGTCTCTGACAGGTCTTAGATAACCTTTCATGATATTTTCATACATGAGGAAAGAATTGATCCAAATACTATCTAACAGGCTCAAGTGACACATTCTCAATTCAACAAATACTTACTAAGCACCTATTATATAGCAAGCAACCAATAAAATAATTAAGAAGTATAATACAGGATATAACTACCTTTAATGCCAAATAATTTAGTAAAGACAAAAGGTATTGCAGGACTTTTTAGAAGAGTGGAGATTATGGTGAACTAGAGCAGTGGTTCTCAACTAGGAGCTGTTTTGTAGGCCTTTGTGAGCCTGATGGGCATTTAGCAATTTCTGAACATCATGACTGGGGGGTGGGGGACTACTGGCCTTTAGTGGGTATATGTTGGGGATGCTGCTAAACACCTTACATCCCTCCCACACAAAAAAGACATTTATCTGGTCCAAACCATCAATAGTGTTGCTACTAAAAAACCCTAGGCTAGAGTAATCAGGAAATGATTCAAGTATAATGAGTTGGATTCTAAGCTGGCCTTTAATCATGAGGATATGTAGAAAGGTAGAAGAAATAATAGAAGCAAACATATAAAGGCAAGAAGGAGCCTGCTTTGAACTGGGTGTTGTAGGTACTGAGAAAGGTTTTGAAATTAAGAAATTTATCTGAATCCAGTGAAAATGTGCACTGAAAAAGTCAGTAGGATATAAAGGTGACTGGCTAAACGAAGCTGGATTACATAAAAACTAGATAAAGGTACTGAGCAGCAGAAATAAGAAATTGTTTTAGCCTGGCCAGTGTGGCTCAATGGTTAGGGTGGTGGCCCATGTTCGAAAGGGTCATGGGTTCAATTCCCAGTCAAGGGCATGTACCTGACTTGCAGGCTCCATCCCCAACCGGGTCAAGGTGCTTGCCAGAAGCAATCAATTGATGTCTCTCTCTCACATTGATGTTTCTCTCTGTTTCTCTCTCTCTCTCCTCCCTTCCACTCTGTAAAAATCAATGGAAAAAATATGCTCGGGTGAGAATTTATTTTAAAAACTGTTTTAGCCCTGGCCGGTTTGGCTCAGCGGTTAGAGCGTCGGCCTGCAGTCCTGAGAGACCCGGGTTCGGTTCCCGCTAAGGGCGCGTACCTCGGTTGCAGTTTGTCCCCGGCCCTGGTCGGTCGTGCGGGTGGCAGCCACTCGATGTGTTCCTTTCACGTCGATGTTTCTCTCTCTCTCTCTGTTCCTCTCTCTCCCTCCCACTCTACCTGAACAAAAAATGGAAAAATGTCCTCGGGTGAGGGAAAAAAAAAAAAACAACTGTTTTATTTTAAGCATGTGCCCTAGAAATTAATGTAATAAGTTGTAAAACTACTTAAAGAGCAGCAACCATGTCTTATTAGTAACTCTGTTTCTTATGTCACTGAACAGTATCCTGTAAATAGTGTGTGCTAAGTGCTTATAAAATGCAATTCTCCTATTAATTATTTACAAGTATTATTGGTGATCTCTAAAGTTCCACCCACTGTTAGTATTTAGGGTATTCATTTAAACTTCAACTCAAAAAAAGCTATCATTTAGTAGGTGACTACCATATAAAGGTACTGCAGTAGGCACCCTACACATATTATTTCATTTCATTATGAAATGTGGTTTTCACTCTTTAAAGATGAGGATACTGAGCCCTAGTCAGTTTGGCTCAGCAGTCAGAGCACTGGCCTGCAGATGGAAGAATCATGGGTTCCATTCCTGGTCAAGGGCATGTACCTGAGTTGCAGGTTTGATCCCTATCCCCTATGAGGGTTGTGCTGGAGGCAACCAATCAGAGACACACACTGATGTTTCTCTGTCTCTGCCCCTCTTTCTCCCTCCCACTCTATCTGAAAAAAATCAATGAAAGAATATCTTCGAGTGAAGATTTTTTTTTAAGAAAGATGAGGATATTGAGGTTCAAAAAGCTTAAGTATCTTGCCCTTCATTTCACTTAGCTAGGAAGTGGCAGATACAAGATTGAACCTCTTTCTAGTCCTAACCCAAATCTCCAAGCTTCAGGAATACGCTTGAGGAAGGGTTAAAAAAGTATAACCTGACACCCACCATTCGCAATTAACATATACAGGCAACTCCACTTAAAGTTGTCCTTACATTTCTTCACTACAGTAATTAGTCAATTCTGTCTTAAGGCATTTGAGCACGGTATTTGGCTTGGTGTCCTTCCACATCTGTGTGCCGAGGCAGTTCCTAGGTGCATTCTAACCACCCCAAAATTATCTTCCGGGAAACTCAAACTCCTTAAGTTATTACCCTTAAAACAGGAAAAGGTAAATAAACGTTAACCTGTTGAACTGGTAATGATCAGCACCTACTACCAATGATTCATAAAATAGAAGAACATTTCACATTCAAAACAAATTAGCATTTTCGGAGCCACGGTCCTTATCCACACTTCAGGTCCAGGGACCTGCTAAGCCAGGCAGCCCAGTGGCTCAGGGCCTCAATTCAGTCTCAGCTGCTGCCAAACAGCCCATTTCCAGCTCTCCCAACGCTTCTGAGAGTCTACCCTTAAACAGAAGCTCTCCTCCCGTTTCAGTTACAAAACAGATTTTTAAATCTTGTAAGGAACCCAACCTAAACCTTCTCCTAGTTCCAGACGCTTAACATTTGTCCAGGGAAACACTTTATGATAGGGCTTATGATCCCGCCCTGGCCGAGATACTCCCCCTCGGCCGTCAGCTCTGCTCTCCCAGAAGCACGGTCGCAGCACCAGCTGCCGCACCAGCTGTTCCTCCGGAGCTCTCTGCAGCAAGCAACCCTGTAAGCGACTCTTTCCAAACCCCCCGTCCCGGCTCAAGGCCCATTTCACGGCTGCCCGAGTCCCGTTTCTTTCAGACAGGGCGCCAAGCCCGCAGCCTCCGCCGAACCCCGAAGGTTGGAGCCTAGCTAAGGGGACAGCGTGGCCCGGCCGGGGGTCCAGAACGGACGCAGAGAGCGGGCACAGCGGGTCTGCAGTCCCGAGGCCGGTGCACAGGCAGCGGCAGAAGCACTTACCAACATCCTGATCGAAGGGATTGGTGGCAAAGAGAGGCATCTCCACTGCGTGCCGAGGTGTCCGCAGGGACTCCCCGTCGACACCGCGGGAGTCAGGGTGCGACGGAGGAAGGAAGACTCCTCAGGCAAAAACAGCAACAGACACGGACTCCGCAGACGCGACAGGCTCTCGTCTCCCCGAACCTCAGCAACCGCGGCGGCGGCAGCGCCAGCAGGGGCGACGGCGGCGGCCACAGCGAAGCAGCCGAGAAGGCCCCCCGCGTGGAGCCTTTCGGGAATCCGGGCGACCGCAGCGCTGCCTGCCCAGAACCTGCCCAGAACCTGCTCCTCCAAAACAAGTTCAAACAAAGCGCCCCCTCCACCCCATTCCTCCTTGGATTATTCACACAGGAGAGCAGCAGTAACGCCCGCGTTTCCGGCTTTTGCCTTGGCCGGCAGTCTCCGGGAGACGGGGTCCTCCAGGCGCGCCGAGGCCGCCTAGCAAGCCCGGCAGTGAAACAGACGGGGAAAGAAAAAGGGTCGCGTTCGAGTTGAGCGAGACCCCCTTTTCCCTCTCCGTCGGTTGTCCTCACTTTGCAGTTCCCTGTGGAGGGGGATGGGAACTCCCTCGTTTGGAGTCGTCTGGGTGTGAAGGCTATGAGTAATCTGCTGTCTGCCGTGACAAGAAACTTGCTTGGATGAAGCCTGGGAGCCGGACGGATTGGCTCGAACCCGCGCAGAGGGGAGTGTCAGGCGAGCGCTGGGCGGCGGGCGGTCCCCGGAGTCCCTGCGCGCCCGGCTTGCAGTCGGCCGAACGCGCTCCTCCATGGGCGTTGGTTCACCGACTAACTGTGTAGACACTAAGCAGTTGTGTTGGTTGGAAAATATGTTTCACACCCAAGAATGTCCCCCTAAGCCGAGCAGAAAGAACTGGAAAATGGAGCCAGAAAATGATGACTGATTCCTAACCACTGAAGACGTTTATTTACTAATTTTACTTTTTATTGAACAAAAGCTCTATATTATGTAGAAATTTGAAGGAGCATCGATTAGATTTTGCGCCCCACTTGGAACAAACAGCGTCTTGCACATGAATTGAAACTATGTAAATTATGTCAGAAAAATAGAGCACCTCCTAAAGTGGCATGTAAACAAATATTTGCAAGGTGTCAACAACAGGACTAGTTAGTGGTATACAAGGAGCGCTTACAAAAATCCATTAAGAATGAAGTTACATTTCTAAAAGTGAAAATGCAAATTAATTAGCATTTAGATACATTTTTGTCATTCAAAGAAAAGAATCAGGAATCATATATTCACATTGTTGAATTAAGTGTAATCAATATATTCCTCCTAAAGGAAATATTTGGAAGCATGTAACCAAAGCCTTTAAAAATGTGAACACCTTTGGACCCAGCAATTCTTTTTTAAATTTATCATAAAGACATTCTTTAAGAACATGAACAAAGATATTCATAGCAACATTGCTTATATTATCAAAGCATTGTTAACCACTAAAATGTCCAACATAAACAGACTGGACAAATTACTTCACTTCTTGGTGCCCCAGCTTCCCCTTCTGTAAAAAACAAGAGAGAGAGAAATAATAGGATTGTGAAGATCAAGTGGATTAATACAAGTGAACCCTTAGGTGCCTAGCATATAGTAAGCAATGAATAAGTATAAGCAGTAGTTATAATTAGTATTGGTCAAGTAAATTACAGTAGACACTATGTAAAAACTCCACAGGTATTATAGCTGATACTGTAGGTCTATACAAAGACATCTAAATGATGCAGAATTACAAAATAACCCAGATATTTTAAGTCTGAAAAGAAGTAGATGAGAATATTATAACATAGTTCTCTCTGAGTGATAAAATTTGGGATTTTTTTTCTTTTGCAATTTTTTTAATTAATTTTTTTTACAGATGTTTCTCCTTTTTCCCCTCTAGCCACCCTCCTCCGGATCCGGACCCCCTTCCCCCAGCATTATTGTCTATGTCCATTGGATATGCATACATGCATATAAGTTCTTTGTAGGATGGTTCTTGGTTCTTTATGCAGTTAATGTTTTCCAAATATTTTAATGATTAAGCCTGTTTTCTTTCAAAAGCAGGAAAAATAAAAACATAACAATGTAAAAAAAAAAAATTTGGTATGTTTATACCACTGGTTCTTAATATCTTGAGGAGCCAGTACCAAAAGCTTGCTTGTATTTCATTATGACAGTATAAAATTCTTCTAAAACATCACTATTGGTTTGTGAACCAGAGCATTCTCTGTCAAATCCCGGTTCTTGATTACCTGGCTGACAGAATCAGGTGACAACTTGTCAACCTCAAGTTTCTGAGCAGAGTCTGGGGCTCATTATTATAATTACCAGTATCACAGCCAAATGTTTACAGAAATGCATTTGGATGTACTTTGTGGTTCAGTAATGAGACTACATTATTCTGTTGCGAGCAATAATCTATTGATCAAATTGTTCAAGCCTTGATTATGAATATGTGAGCACTGGGAATAGTGAAGGAATAACAACTATTAATCTTGACAGTATTATCTATATATTCTGACCTAGAAGGGTGACGTTAGCTATTTGGGGCCTTTATGATTAATATGCTATGAATAATAAACATTTTTAAAATTTAAAAATGTTAACATTATTGTTATGTTTAACATAAAAGCCAAATATGAAAAGTGAAAGGGGTTTGTATTTTGATGTTAGCTTTTCATTATTATCCCTTATAACGTTGAAACTGCAGGAGTTTCACTTTTATGTATTACCATAGCTTTAAAAATACTGTAGAGACTATATCAGTTTCACATTCAAATGTTTCTGTTATATGTGTTTACTAAATTCTGTGGTTAATTTTAAAATGCTAAATCCCTTTTTTAGTTTGATTTTGAAAATTCATATACGTTAAAAAAAAAAAAAAAAGATAGCAACATGCAAATGGATTACTCCAAGAAAAAATCTATAATTTTAAGGTTCAGGGAAAAAAGTATGCTAGGATGATTATTAACAGTACTTTATTTCACATCCTCATCGTCTCTTAGCCGAATGATTACATTCACCTTCTACTATGTTTTTCTCCTTTCCTGCTATTATGGACTGAATTGTGTCCTCCCTAAATTCATATATTGATATTTATAATATCAGTGTGACATTGTTTAGAGATGGGGACTTTGGTAGATAATTAAGTAATTAAGTTTAGATGAAATCATGAGGATGGGGGTCCTCATTATGGGATTAGTACCCTTATACGGAGAAGCACCAGGGAGCTTGATTTCTCCTCTCGACCACGTGAGCACGAAGTGGGAAGGCAGCTATGCCTGGAAGCCAGTACAGAGTTATCACCAGAACCTAACCATGCCGGCACCCTGATCTAGGATCCAGCCTCCAGAACTATAAAGGAAAGAAATTTCTGTTATTTAAGCCACAGTCTATGATCATTTATTATGTCAGCCAGGCTGACTAATACAACTGCCTATCTTCCAAACATTCTCCAAACCTCTGCTGGAACAATTTTTCTAGCACACAAATCTGATTGTGTCATTCCTATAAAATGCTCACATGGTTATTCAGTCACTCAGTCATGCAATACATATTTGTTAACTCCTTGTGTGCCAGATACCATTCTAGATACTGGAAACATAGGGATAAAAGCTCTATGTGAGATCATCATTTTTGGAGTATAGCCTATGGGAAATACAGTCATTAAATAAATAATTAAAGTAATTGCATGGTTAAAAGCGTGCATATTAGTCTCCTGCCTTCAGGATTAAATCCTAATTCTTTAGTGTTACATCCTTACTAAACTGGTCCCTCAGTGCCTCATCTCCTCAGTCGTTTTTCATACCTTGTACTTTCGTTTGTCTGATGTCCATACTTTCCATGGCTTTAAACAAGCAACTCCTTTTGCCTTTCCTACTCTTGATTCTATACCTTCTCTAAACCTCTGCTCATATTTCATTTTTCAAGTCTCTCCTGATACTGTACCTGACTGATAGTAGTCACATAATAAATATTTGTTAATTTGATACTGGTCACCTCTGTCATAGCCCTCAATGGTATGTTTGTTCCAGGTGTCTTTTACTACATCAAAATCACTCGAACTTGGTATCTTAGTGCAACAATAATAATTTCTTTTGCTCACAAATGGGAAATGTGGTCAGAGCTCCATAAGCACAGCTTGCCTCTCTTGCACAGTCTCAGCAGGGGTGGCTCAAAGTCTGGGATGACTACACCTGGGGCTGCAGTCTTTTGAAAATGTACACAATTAACATGTCTAGCAATTGATGCTGGCAGTTGGTTGAGTCATTGGGGTTGTCAGCCAGAACAACCACATGGGACTTCCTATGTGTCTGCTTAGTTCCTCCCAGAATATTGAACTGAGCATTTCAAGAGACAGGAAAAGAACACTACCACTTTCTTAAGACCTGAGCTAGGAAATGGGCAGAGCAATATTTCAGTCATAGTGTATTGGAAAAGGAGTTGCAGTGTCTACATTCAAGGTGAAAAAATAAATTTCACTTTTTTCTTTTTTATCCTCATTCGAGGACATTTTTCCATTTTTTGTACAGACAGAGTGGGAGGGAGAGAGAGGAAAAGAGAGAGAGGGAAACATCGATGTGAAAGGGACACATCGAGTGGCTGCCACCCGCACGACCAACCAGGGCCAGGGACAAACTGCAACCGAGGTACATGCCCTTAGCGGGAACCGAACCCTGGTCTCTCCGGACCGCAGGTGGATGCTCTAACCGCTGAGCCAAACCAGCCAGGGCTAAATTTCACCTTTGATGGAAAGACTATTAAAGGATTTGGGGGCCATATTTGAAAGCTACGGCATATTGTAATTTTTAGTCTGTTATTCATTTATCCCTATATTTCTTGGCTTTCCACAATAGTGTTCCATAAATATTTGTTAAATGTAGTAAATAAGTGATGTGATTAAAATGGCATACTATCACCCTGGCTGGTTTGACTCAGAAGTTAGAGCAGCAGTTCTCAACCTGTGGGTCGCAACCCCCTTGGGGGTCGAATGACCCTTTCACAGGGGTTGCCTAAGACCATCGGAAAATACATCTTTCCGATGGCGATTCATAACAGTAGCAAAATTACAGTTATGAAGTAGCAACAAAAATAATTTTATGGCTGGGGGGGTCACCACCAACATGAGGAACTGTATCAAAGGGCCGC